AGACATCTTAGACCCAAGGGGTGTAAAGCCCAGAAGCCCCAGTAAGGGGTTGAGTAGTTACCCTAGTGAGGGGGTAAGAGTATAAGGGTCTAGAAGCCTTACAAGGGGCCAGGAACCCAGAGTGCATGTGGGAGCAGAGGCCTCAGTGAGGGGGGCATATGGCTAAGTTCGGGCAGGAGGCTGAGTGCAGCCCAGCAATGGGGCCAGGGGAGATTTTTGGATGCCATCTGCGAGGCATGGGACAGGTGGGTGGGCTGACATTGTGATGGCCCCAGGATGGCTCCCTGTCACTGGGGAAATATTAATAACTAGTATAGGATACTAAAGGTAATGCTCAAAAATGTATTGTTTGTCAGCATTATGATTAACTTAAAGGACTCTACTGGAATGTAGGACTAGACTGAAATATGGGAAGAAGAAGGTTAAATGGTAGTTATATCCATCCATGGGGGCCCTGTGGTGAGGGAGGGAGTGGGGCAGAGGCAGGTGCTGCCCAGCTGGGGTGGGGCGCAGGATGGAGCTGCAAATGGCTTGTCGACGGGACGTGGGTGGGGGGAGGGGGGTGGCTCCTGCCCTGCACACAGCCCGTGAGGGCATGGGGGGGTGCCCTTGGATCTGTGCACAGGGCGAGGCTGGGGCTGGGTCTGCGCCAGGCTCTTCCTGGTGGGGGGCTGGGCCAGGTTGCACTTGGGGCAGATGGCAGTGGTGGCACCGGGAGGGGAGTGTTGGGGAAGCTGTAACCACCCCAAAATTTGCCATAGCTATCTCCCCCCTCCCCCCCAAGTGCTGCTGTCGCCCACCCTGAGTGTAGCTCTGGCCCAACGCTCCCACTGGGAAGAGCTCGGCGCAGCCCCAGCCCGCAGCAGCAGCCTGACCTTTTCCCACACAGATCTGGGGGCACATGCCCCCCCCCATGCCCTCCTGGGGCACGTGCAGCAGCAGGAGTTCCTGCCCCCCTCACCTTCCGGACAAGCTGCTCGTGGCTTCATCCCTTACCCTGCCCCAGCTGAGCAGCGCCTGCCCCAGCCCCACTCCCTCCCTCACTGTGGAGGCCTTGTTCTGTCCTTCTCCCACGCCCCTTCCCTCCCTCCACTCCTTTCTCCCACAACAGACTTACCAGCCAGATGCTGCTCTCCACGCTACAGGCTGCGCTTCTGGCCCTGTGCATGCTGCAGCTGTGCACATGCACGGGCCGCTTATCGACCACATCAGTGGAAAAAGGCTATTTCCAATACTGTCAATTTTCCCTATAGTGGTGCCGATCCAATATGGGACCAATGTATTGGTGCACCTCTAGGTTTGTTGCATCTCTCTCAGTGGGTACTAATGGCTTCTCTGAGCAGCTGGAGCACCTTGGTCCCAACATAGCTGTCTGCCATGGCTTTGTCTACTCTTGGATATTTCACAAACCCTCATTTTTGCAGAAGGGTAAGTAATTCAGGTGCTACTGTATCTTATTACAGTTTTTTAATGTCAAATCGGTCATAAAACAGGATGAGGGAAATTGAGTTTTAATCTGGAGAAGAGAAGAAGACTAAGAGGATTTAGTAGCAGCCTTCAACTACCCGAAGCATGGTCCAGAGGTTGGAACTAGACTGTTCTCAGTGGTGGCAGATGACAAAACAAGGAGCAATGGGTTCAAGTTGCAGCAAGAGAAGTTTAGGTTAGATATTAGGAAGAATTTTCTTACTAGGAGGGTAGTTAAGCACTGGGACAGGTTACCAGACGGGTCGTGGAATCTCCATCCTTGGAGGTGTTTAGGATCCGGGTAGACACAGCCTTGGCTGGGATGATCTAGTTGGGGATGGTCCTGCTTTGAGCAGGGGGCTGGATTATATTACCTCATTTTTTTTATGGTTTTGTGCAACTAAAATGCACTAGTGGGGCCCAGAGTGGGGCACAGGCTGGTGGGGGTTTGTGGAGCCGGGCTGGGCTGCACCAGCAGAGAGAGGGGGGAGCTGGCCCAGCGCCATAGACCCCCGGCTGGGCCGGGCCCCGCGCTCCTGCCCCCCACCCTGCTCGGGCCCCGGCCAGTGCTGGCCTCAGGACATCCATGCACCCACTTACTCCCAGTGCCCCCCAGCCCCGTGGTACAGGCAGGGGGCAGTGTGCAGCCCCACCCCCCTGCTCCCCGGCAGGGAATGAGCTGGTGCTGAGCGCGGGGAAAAGCAGCCCCTCCCCAGCCCCACAGCTGGCACTCCCTGCTGCAGCCTTTCACAGCCTGCACAGGGCTGTACTGAGCAGGCACAGGCACCAGCCATGGGGTGGGCAAGGGCCTGCTTTTCCCACGCTCAGCACCAGCTTATAACCTGCTCCTGCCGCCAGCCTGCGCCCCACACCAGCTCTGGGCTCACCTGTCAGGGCTATGCTTGGCTTGCCGCACTGGGTAGCGTTTGCCACCGCCGCCTCTGGGCTGCCCAGCGTGCAAGCTCCGGGAAGGCAGCAGCAGCAAACACTGCCTGGCGTGGCAAGCGAGGGGGGCCACAGCTGCTGCCGCCATGCGCAGCCCCACGGGTGAGCCTGGATCTGGCGCCAGGGCCCAAGCTGGCAGCAGGGGCGGCTTACAAGCGGGTGCTGAGCACGGGAAAAGCGGCCCCACCCTCTCCCTGTGGCTGC